ATTCATATATTTTATTATTATATATTACTTTTTTTCCTAGTGTTATTCTATGCAATATCAAGCTCAAGTACTTAAAATATAAATGGGACTCTCCATGCCAAATTGGATGATTTTAAGAATTTTCATTTTTGATTTCCTCAACCTCTCGACATTTTTCTTACCCATCGAAAAACCCTTCCTCTTATCTGTTTAAAAGATATTGAATTTTTAAAAAAAATCTCTTTTTTTTACAAAATACTCATGATATACACACGTGGTTCTTATGAACGTATGTTACGGATTTTTCGCTGCAGCCAACTATATTATACTTCTCATTTAATCAGTCTATATTTGCATGATCCACACCATTTTGCTCACCTGTTCGACTCCCACACGGAACAATTATTTCTGTAAAAGCTTTTAGAAAAATTTACTTATATATATAAAAATATAACGCGGATATTTGCGAAGTAAATTTTTCTAGAAGCTTTTATATAATGGATTTCCGCAAAGTAACGCCTGATTCTATTAATTAAATTATTTCTATGTCTGCTGCCTATTATTTATTGTCTGAATATAGCAAATTCTCTGTACTTTAGGATAGGCGAATGTCTAGAAATTGACTATGATAATATATTTTTTTTTTATAGAAGAGGGGCCAAACGAGCATGCGGCTCACCTGATGGTAAGTGACTACCGCCGCCCATGAACAACCGCAGATGCGTTTCCGGCCTTTTAGAAAGATGTAAGCTCTTTTCTTGAAGGTTCCTAAGTCGTATCGGTCCGAAAAACTAGCTGGTGGTAATTAATTCGACAAGGAAGTTGTGCGAGGGAGAAAACTTCTTCTAAATCGCATAGTGGTGGACAGCCAATCATGCAGATGGTATGGATGGTAACACGAGTTTTGTCGCGATGTGCGATGGTGAAATTGAGCGGCTGGAATTAGTCAATTAGTCCGAACAATCCCTCAGAGCACTCCCCGTGATAGATGCGATAAAATACGCAAAGAGATGCAACATCTCTACGCAGTGCCAGTGTGGAGCCTCGAAAGTGGGAGGCCTCGGAGCCAGAAAGAACTCGGTCGTCGACGATTCGAACCGCTCTGCGCTGGATGCGGTCAAGTGGAAGGAGCTGAGATACCCCGGCCCAGAGATGAGAACGGTATTCCATGTGGGGTCGAACTTGCGCTTTGTAAAGTTGCAAGCGATGTGCCGGCATGAAATACTGTTACGCTCTGTTGAGCACGCCAAGCTTTTTAGAGGCCAATTCGGCCTTCCCTTCCAAGTGACCACGAAACTGCACGCTATTCGATATGTCGACGCCAAGGATTCCGATACTGGCTGAGGCAGCAAGGGGAGTGCCTTGAAACTGAGGAGATACAACAAAGGGGTTCTTTTTAGCGGTAAACGCGCAAATTTGTGTCTTTTGGGGATTGAACTGGACTAGATTTAGTCGGCCCCAATCCGAGACTTTGTTAAGCAAAGACTCGACTTCAGACACAAGTTGGTCCCGGTACTCGGCGACGTTTTCCCGAGAAATATTGGCACGGCCGGTAAATAAGGCATCACCAGTGCTGTCGTCCGCATAGCAATGAATGCTACCAGTTTGCAACATATCATTGATATGCAGGAGAAACAGCGTTGGTGATAGCACGCAGCCTTGTGGAACACCAGAATTGATAGGCTTGAAATCAGAGCATGCATCGTCTACTACGACCTTGATGCTTCGATCAGCAAGGAAACTGGTGATCCATTTGCACAATTTCTCGGGAAGCTCGTAGGAAGGAATCTTCGAAAGAAGCGCTTGGACTTGCCTCACCCTTGGACTCCACGGCCTCCGCCCATTTATGAGTCAGAAAGACTAGAAGATCACCAGCTGATCGACCCAGATGAAAACCGTACTGGCGGTCACTAATCAGCTGGTGATCCTCAAGGTACCTCATAAGCTGGCAGTTTATAATGGATTCCATTATTTTGGAGAACAAGGAGGTGATGGCGATAGGCCTGTAGTTGGACGAGTCTGAGCGGTCGCCTTTTTAGGGATCGGGTGTGACCAAAGCTGTCTTCCATGAATTCGGGACTACGCCTTGGGAGTTGGAGTACCGGAAAAGACGCGTTAAGACCGGTGCCAACTCCGGAGCACAAGTCTTCAGCACAATGGGAGGGACTCCAACGGGCCCACTTGACTTGCTGACGTCTAGGGAGAAGACTGCTTTGCGAACCGAGTGCTGTGTAAACCGCACACCCGGCATGGAGCACTCATATCGCGGGATGGTCGGCGGTGTGTTCTCCCCGTCATCTAGAGTCGAGTTGAAAGCAAAGAGAGAGCTCAACAGATCGGCTTTCGCCTTTGCGGCATGCGCCAGTGAGTCGTCGTCTCTATGCAGAGATGGAAGAGATGGCTGACAGAAGTTCCTATGGACAGCCTTGGCGAGAGACCAGAATACACGGGTTCCCGAAGGAAGGCGAACTAACTTCTCGCCAATTCTGACGATTTGCTCAGACCTTGCCTTGGCAATGACGCTTTTGAAGGATCTGGAAGCGGAATTATACTTCTATTTAAGTGCGCTGGTGTTTACATCCCGAGACGTTAATGCGTCAGCCCAGGCCCCGTAGCACTCCTGCCTATAGCGTGATGCTGGAGATGCGTGAGGAGCGACCAAACCATGGCTGGGATCTGCCTCCGATGGGCACCACTGAGGATGGAATAAATAGTTCCATATCCTGAAGTACCACATCAGCAACAGAATCGGCAACAACGCTGAGATCTTCGGACGAGAAGCAAATCCGCCCCCAAGGGTAGGATGCAAAAAAAGACCGCATCCCGTCCCTATCAACTGACCTATAGTGCCAAACACGGCGGCAAGCTGCAGATCGCAACTCCGATTGGAGCGTCAGTGGCACCGTGCTCCAGATCAGACAATGGTCCGAAGAGCCCAGAGGGGCATCGACGGAGACCTGATATCCGTCCGGATGAGAGGTCAGCAGAAGGTCCAACAGGGAAGGTACATGGTCTTCCACATCTGGGATCCGCGTAGGTGAAGTAACCAGTTGTGTTAGACCATATACCAAAGCAAAGTCATAGATAGATCTACCCGCATGATCGGTTAAACGAGAACCAAGCCATTCAACGTGGTGGGCGTTAAAATCACAATAGGAGAGATATGAAGTATCAGCCGGAGAGGACACCTGAGTCTAGGTTAAAAAGAGCAAGGCCGGCTTCGCCGTCTCTAGATGGTAATGGACAGCGTTAAGATTGGAATGAAGTCCCCTGATGTTGCAAAAATTCACGGATAGCGTGACAGGGGTCGCCTTGGTTGTATTGCTCCGCTTGCCCTGAACAGCATTAGTCGCGAGCGGAATTTTGACCCCTCCTCCCCCAGAATACGTGGGGCAGCCTGAGCACCCACGCTCAGGAGTGAAGTAGTTTAGTCGTGGATGCTCAGCGAGGGATTCTCCAGGGGTGCTGGTACCCTCCTGGGGTAGTCTCTTATTTAATTCCACTACCATGTTGACTTACACTCACCAAACGCAACGCAGAGGTAAACCTCTACTTCAAGCTGGTATTCTTTGAGGTCGTGGTACCACCCCGGTTCGAGCTGGCCCATCCGTGCGACAGCAAAAGCTACCGCTTAGCTCTACCACTGTTAAAACTATTAAAACATCATTTACAAAATCAGCCGCTTCAGTAAGTCCTTGCCGTAGCTCAGCTACATTTTCAATCGGCTTTCTTCGACGGCTCCCCAGTAAAAAAATCTAATGGATTAAAATCAGGTGAACAGGCTGGCCACGAGATTGTACGAGACCGCTTTATCCATCTATTTGGTTACTCTTCATCACTTTTCAATCATTTTAGGTTAGACAGACAGACAGTTAAGGAATATTAATTTTCAACTGGGTTCAAAAAATGTTTTTCCATAATTTACATAATATAATCTTGCAAGTGTTATATTATTATGGAATCTTTATTAAATGCGCCAACTTTTAGAGTTTGAAAAGAAAATTAAAAAAGTTAATATTTATATTATAGTTAGTGTGATGTTCACTAATTTAAGTATAGGGTTTAGTAAAACAACCAACTATCAGTAAGTAGGTACACAGCACAAGACAACGTCCACTCGCTACCGATGACAGATCGGCAATGCGAGTGTGGCGCCACCGTTGGTCTGTGTACTACATTTAATTATACATATATCACATCTCTTCCTTTTTATATATTAATTAATTTTATTACTACAATAAACAAACAGAACAATGTTTTATAATTTAATCAATTATCAATCTGAACTTCTTTATCCTGATCAACAACTTTCCATTGACCTTCCACTTTCTTAAGGTGTACGATATTCCTCCTGTACTCCTGACCAGTTTCATCATTTTTTATGTTTATGTCACTGCCTTCGGAGCTATTAACAGTATGGGGGGTTGGGTTAAATTCTGAAACTAATTTATTTTCTTTTATCAAGTTCTTCACGTACACTTTACCTCCTATTTCTAGTTCCCTATCAACAGCTCTTCTTTTCCTGTCTTCGTTTAATTTGCTTATATCTTTTCTTTCTATGTCTCGGTCTCTTATTTCTTGATCATCATAACTATTTTCGAGGTCCGTTAAAAAAGGTAGTTTGTCTCTGAATTGTCTTCCATAGAACAGCTCGGATGGAGACTTTCCTGTAGAAGGATGAGGAGTACTGTTATACATCATTAGGTATTTTAACAAATCATCTTTCCAGTCTGATTTTTCGCACTGACTTATTCGCAGTCGTTTAAGGATATCCCTGTTTTGCCTCTCTACTTCACCATTTTGCTGAGGCCAGTAAGGGATCGTATTAAAAAGCGTTATTCCTTGTTCAGTACAAAATGTTTTGAATTCCTGACTACAGAATTGTCTACCATTATCGGCTGTTATACTAGCAGGATTTCCGGCTCGTGAAAAAAATTTTTTCAATACTTTTATTGTGTCTTGTGTTGAAATAGATTTCATGATTTCGATCTCTTTATACCGACTGTAATAGTCAATAATCACTAAAAGATGATCTCCGCTTGGGAGTGGACCCAAAAAATCAACGGCTGTATCCACCCAGGCTTTTGAAGTTCACGCCTTTTCATAGGTACTGGTGGATTGGGTGCCGAGACTAAAGTACACCCTCTGCAGCTTTTTACGGTATTTTCAGCGTCTTTGTCTATTTTTGGCCACCAAACTTTTGTGCGCAGCCTAGCTTTCATATTGACTATACCTGGATGACCTTCATGGGCCGCTGCTAACACTTGTTTCCTCAACTTAGTAGGAATCACCATTTTGTTTCCTCTCAACAAGACGCCATCGTGTAACCAGAGTTCATGTTGAAATAATTTATAATTATTTATTGAAGCATCCCAAGCATTGTTCATCAAAGCATCTTTTACTAATTTAAACTCATCATCGTCATTTGATGCTTCAATAATCGATTTAAGAGATAATGCTATGGGTCGCGCGTGTTGAACAATCTGGTTAACATGATGTTCGTCTTCAAAAGAACTGTTTTGAATGCTGGTCGTACATAAACGTGATAATGGGTCTGCTATGTTGGATTTTCCGGGCTTATAAATAACTTTATAATCATATGCTTGTAACCGAAGGACCCAGCGCTCGATTCGTGCACAAGGCTTTGATCGCGTACCAAATATAACCTCCAGAGGTTTATGGTCTGTGATAAGCTCAAACTTTTTCCCGTATAAGTACATGTGGAAGTGTTCAATTGCCCACACTAAAGCCAATGCCTCCTTTTCGATCTGACAGTATCGTTTCTCAATGTCTGTCAGGCTCTTGTTTCCGAAGGCAATGATGCGGGGTCCATTGTCATCATACTGAATCAGTACAGCGCCTAAACCTACCGGACTTGCATCGGCGATTACTTGGGTACGATCATTTGGGTCATAGTAGCCAAGAGTAGGAATCTTGGAGAGACAATTTTTTAATTCGTCAAAAGCCGTTGAATGTTCTTTTTTCCAAAAAGTTATGATATTAGCATTTTTGTGCATTTTTTTTCGAAGCAATTGCCGAATGGGTTCCGTTAAGGTTGACAAATTGGGGATCCACTTTCCTACATAGTTGATTAAGCCCAGAAAACTTTGAATTTCTTCGATGGTTTCCGGTGGTCTAAACGTCTCGATTGCTTTTATATATTTGTCAAGTGGTTTAATACCTGATTGCGAAAGCTCGTGGCCCATAAACTGAATAGACTTTGCATTAAAAATACATTTATTTTTATTCAGTAAAACATTATTGTCTTTGAGTACTGTTAAAACATGTTGAAGCCTGGTATCATGTTCTTTTTTATCACGTCCAAAGACAACAATATCATCTATGAAGTTTACCACTCCTTCGCATGGCAATAACATTTTCTCCATAATTTTTTGGAAATGTTCAGGTGCGCAAGATATCCCGAACATTAACCTTTTGTACTGGTGAAGCCCTTTACTAGTGATAAAAGTTGTGATATTTCTGCTATTTTTATCTAGTTCAACCTGATGAAAAGCATTCTTAATATCCAACTTTGAAAAATATGTTGCTTTGCAAAATTTGGGAATAAGTTGTCCCATGGTAGGCAAGGGATGATTTTCTCTAATAATTGCTTTGTTAGCAGCACGCATATCCAAATAAATTCGAATATCATCATCAGACTTTAGAATCGGTACCATCGGAGAAACCCAAGAAGATGGGTTATTTACAGGTTCAATGATGGCCATTTTAACCAGTTCGTCTATTTTCTTATTTATCCTTAATTCCAAAGGAATTGGGACTCGTCTATAAGGTTGACAAACTGGAGGAACAGTTTTGTCAATAGTGATGTTTAATTGAACATCTTTGAACTTGGGAAATTGTTTTTCCTCAATGGAATTCACGACAAAGCCTAGTTTTAGCACATCAAGAGAAATGGCGGTTTCTTTACCCAAAAGATTCCTTGAACCATTTTCTATGACATAAAATTTTGTTAATAATGATTGAGGACCAACTTTTATTTGTGCATCAAATGAGCCTAACACTTTATGGGGATGTTTGGCACCATAATCCAGGAACGTTTTATCTGAAGACTTTTGTTGGTTGGAAACTATAACTTTAGATCGTTTCATTTATACCCAAGTTTTATCATTAATAATATTTGATCTACTACCGGAATCAATGAGCATTTTTATATTTACACCACCTACCTGACAATCTATTGTTGCGTCGTCGACGATATGGAAAATATAGTCTACAGATGCAGACTCTCTATTTTTTGTGGTTTCTGTCTTGGGTTTCTTAACTTTATGGTTTTCATTTGACGAGAGGTTGGTACTTTTTCTTTTATCGGCCCTTGTTCTACAGTGTTTCTGAAAATGACCTTTGAACCCACATTTCATACAATTCACATTTATAGCAGGGCAGGAACTATTGTCATTTTTGTGACTTTTACTGCCACATCGGCTACAGAAATTAACCTCTTTTTTAGAATATAGTTTTGTTGTTTTAGTGTCAATTTTATTTAGGGTGGTAGTTGTTGTGCTCTGCCTATCGTGAAACTCGTTTAGGTGCCGTTCTACGGTTTCTAGGGAATTTGCTTCTGCCACGATTTTTTCAATGGTTGCCGTGTCACCAAGTACCAAAATGTTCTTCCTTAATTTGGTCGAGCTACACTTTTCTATTATTTGGTCAATAAGATTTTCGTCTGCATTAGCGAAATTGCATTTAGAACTTTGACGTCTTAGACGAACCAAGAATTTTTCAAACTTCTCGTTTGGTTCTTGTTTCATTAACCGAAAAATGTGCCTTTCAAATAAATAACTTTGTTTGGGGAAAAATACTCGTCCAACTTTTTAATTGCTGTGTCATACACGTCAGTCGCATCAGGATTAGTCACGTGGGCACCAGGTATATTGAAATAAATGTCTTGTAACGCCATGCCTCCGAAATGTAGTAGCATGGCGCGTTTTGTAATTTGAGCATTGGTATTGGTTGCTACGAAGTATATTTCTAGGGCACGTTTCCATTTGTCCCACCGGAAACTTATGGAGGTTGGATCGCCTTCACAATCGAATGGTTCTATTGCTGGGACTTGTGATTGGAACATTTTTGGACGATCTGCAAATAAGTAAGGGAGGGGACTTGTAAGCATACCAATGTAGTAAAAGAATTCCTAGATCGATTTTTTTTAAGTAGCGTAAAATAAATGGTTAATATTAAAATTATCAATATTCATATTGAATAAATTTTATTGGCTTTAGCAAAAGAATAAGCCATTTTATTAAGAAGTATAAGCCATTTTATTTTTAGTTGAGATTGACTGTAACCAGCATTTAATATTTTGTGACTAGCAACATCGATACAGCAATAGGGTCCACACTATGCACTAGCTTGCTACATATTTATTATTCTGTGATCCTTACCGTGAAAGCTAACCGTAGAGATTATATACTCCTCGGTGAACGCAATCTCATATCATGTAATAAACAAGCATATTAGTCTGCGACATAGATTACTGTATAGTCTGTCTCAATAGATTACTGTATGGTCTGTGACGACTATAGATGCACACAAAGATCTGTTGATATTTGGTAAGTACCCACTACACTATCTGACTTGATATTATTACAAACAAACAGTCATGACACAAAATATTATATTATTATGATGTGCAGCGATATTAACAAATAATGACACTAAATAAAGAAGATATATAAATGTTTGTTTTATAACGATAGACAGTGCAAAATACATTCACTTTGTCCTATATTTTTTTTCCATTATATTACTTATCCATACGGGTTTGACACTTGTTTAGTTTTAACAGTAACTGGAACATAACTCCCAATTTATTGAAGTGGTACTATGTTAAACTGGCAACACGATTCGTTACACTGTTTGGTTATTTTAACAAAATATTTTTCGATAGGAATCATTAGCTAACAGATTTGGTCAACAATACTTGTATTATAATCATAGTTGAGTACTTTGGAAACACTATTTAGATATACAATAAGGATATTAATTTACTTTTGTCGAAATAAGACTCGAAATGAAATGCCGTAACTCCTTTCGTTACACTAAATAAATGACGAAATGACTTCGATGAGATTTAAACAACACATTCCTGGTCAATCGCCACCAAAGTGGCATGGTAACGGCACAATAAACGACGAACTATTTAATTTTGAATAAACAAGTAATATAAATACTCAATAGTAATATAATTTCAAAGTATCCATCACTTATTTCTTTTCTTTTTTTTGAAAAAATTGTATGTAAAAAAATAAATGTACTGTTTTAATTTTGTTGCTGACCAATATCCGTAAACTGGTTTAAAATTTTACCGAAAATTTTACTTACTGCGCTTTTACTCGTCGCCAATGTGATGTTCACTAATTTAAGTATAGGGTTTAGTAAAACAACCAACTATCAGTAAGTAGGTACACAGCACAAGACAACGTCCACTCGCTACCGATGACAGATCGGCAATGCGAGTGTGGCGCCACCGTTGGTCTGTGTACTACATTTAATTATACATATATCACAGTTAGTATTATAGCACAGGAGTTAAAAGACCGTCACAGGATGTAGATTTTGTCGATTTTTTTATTAATGCCTGTAATTTTTAAAATAAATAGCAAAGATTTTTTTATATTTTTCTGTTAACTATTACTTGACTTGACCTATCACCCGATTCCAGCTTGACATCGACTTCTGGGACATCCTATTTAATCAAACTTTTAAAGGAAAAATTAAAAATCATAACAACAAAAATCTAAAAGAAAAAAATTAATTTCCACATTAATTTTTGTTTTCTGAAATCGGTGCTAACATTTAGGATGAGATCTATAGACCGTACTCTGACTTTTTAAGATTATGCTAAGCATATACTCAGCTAACTTTCGTAAATTAAGTCTGAGCAAAGTCAAAATACTTCTACTTCTATCTCAGCCTTAGTGTGTCAAAGCTTCGACTTGATCTAGTAAATTAAATTGTGTGGAAGTTGGATGTATGTTGTTTTAAGTTTATTATTCAATTTCAAATCAAATCTTTTTTCTGACCTGATTTTGGATAAATTACTTTGATGAGTTAAAATGAAACTTTGTTAACTCGTTTCAAAACTCAAAAGTAAATATTATGTCATTATTTAATCCATCTACATCTATACAAATAAAAAAAATTGAATTGGAAGTAACTACATGCATATGAAAGTATATACGGTACTTATAACAAAAACACGATTTTTAAAATTTTTGGCTGTCTGTCTTTCTGTTTGTTCCGGCTAATCTCCGAAACGGCTGGACCGATTTTGACCGGACTTTCACTGGCTAGCTAATGCTATAAGAAGTAATTTAGGCTTCTTTTATTTGAGAAAAAGAATTAGGGCTCCGCGCAAAAAATTAAAACCCATGAAATCCAATCGTAATAAATTACTCGCGGGCGAAGTCGCGGAGAAAAGCTAGTATGTATATAAAAATTACTTGCCGTGCGTTAAGTCTTGCAAAAAGTCGAAAATGGCGCGACCGATTTTGAAGAATATTTTTGTGTGTTTGAGTTTCCCCATAGAATTATTACGTAATAATTCTATGAGTTTCCCTGAATGGTTTAGATTCACAATTGGACCTAGTTAGTAGGTGATGCTGTTGTAGGAATCCAAAAATCACTTGTGCAAAGACGGAGCGCTAGAACAAAGCTAAAACAAGCTAGACAATTATGAGATATTATGTAGGTACCAGAGTCTTTATTATTAAGCATTTTATTCTTCAGGCAAGTCCTTTAAATAGCGTAAAATATACAATTAACACAATAAATTAATTAATTTATGTAATTTAATGAATTTTTGTAGACATTTATCTCATAATTAAACTTTTTTCCCTTGGTTTGTAATTATTTATTTTTGATTTTTAATTTTTACAATCACACACCGGAAACTAGTTAGATAATTTCTTTCGCTTTTTGATGTCCTAGTACCTCGGTCACTCAAACACGTGTTTTGTGCGCAAGTTTACGGAAAGTGAGACGGACGGACGGAGGGAGGTAGGCATCATTATTAAATTATTTTTTCAAAGATCTTTGTTACTGTTTTCTATGGACAATCAATTGTAACTGTACTCGTAATGATGAAATAATTAAATATAACTTTATCACGTAATCATTACAATTAATTAGTGTATTATTATAATTATTATTGTATACATACATATAAAGCTGTAGATATATTACGGTATCAGTAAATAATTTGTACTGTGGATTGTCATCAACATCAATGCCTCAGATTGACAAAATTTTCATCCCTAGCTTTTTATGACGATTTTAACACAATTTTTTATTTTCGCTTCACCTGTATTTATTATGCATCTTCATTATCATCATTATTACAACTCTTCACAAGTCCACTGCTGAATATAAACCGTCCCCCAGGAATGTCACTAAGCATTTTTTTAAATTTTATTATGCATGTATGTATGTAAATTGTAAATTAATGTAGTGGAATTTTATATTTTGGTTTTGGCATACTTTTAGACGCTTTATTAATTTAAAACTTTGATGCCCTATTAAGAGCCGATGACAATACTATATAATCTTAGTATTCTCACTAGGAACTTCAAAGCTTATTTATCAAAGCGTGTATGTTGGAGGGTTTTCTGAAAAGACTATTCATCTTTGCTTTTGCGTCGAGGCAAATTTAGAAGTTTTAATTGCATTGAGCTAAAATAAAAATATGTACAGTTAATTATTTTTA